TYCTTSTTGTWRTRRTGGTGGTGGTGGTGGTGAGGACATGATTTCACTGTTGCTGCTGGTAGGCACAGTACTGCTGTAAAAATAGCTATCCTTATGAAGAATTTGTGAGGGAGTAAAAATCAGTTTGCACATCTTTGCACCTCCTCAGTWGGAACAAGCCTAGGAGTTGCATTATTGCACTCTCTGYGCATTTTCAATGGCTGAGAATGCACCTCTGAGGCTACTGAATCCCACCTCAATTACAACATGGTATACTGTTTTCTCTACTAGTTAATAAACACACAAAAAAGTCATTACAGTTGCAAAAATAGGGGTATGAGTCGTAACAGTATGAGTGTATTTTTGGCCACCATAGGCATATAGTGGGAATTTTTGTTGCCGTTGAGGCAATAATGAGAATGMAATTTTAGTTGCAAAATACCAGCACTGTACATGTAAAAGAGAATCATACAATAGTAAGATAGACAGTACAAAGTCCGTACTAGAATCCTACAGGTGTACACAGCACACCAATTTCCACAACCCCTAATAAAGTCATTTTAAGAGGGCTTCTAACTACTGGTGGAGAAAGATGTACCCACAAAAAGCAAAGTCTTGTGTACAATCTAAGAATGCTCACTACCTTCTTAGTAAGATACTAAAATATATCTTGCCATTAAAAAATGTCCTCTTACTACCTTGCAGTAAGAGAGGGAAGCTAGTACTAGCAGCACTCCTACTAGTTTCAGGATTAATGTTGATCAATACTGCTTAGTACTACTACAACAACTATCACTACTACTAAAGAAGGACCACCAGTTCCCTCTTGCCCATACTAGCTTTCCAGAGTCCCTGTATCCACCAGTGTCTGTATCTAGTGTCCCTACTATCCACCACTGTTTGTATCATCTACTACCAAYAGTGTCCGTATCCACCACCACTGCAAGGCTATATCTACCAGTGCCCCYGTATCAAGTGTCCATATCGTCCAGTGTCCAACCCAACACTCCTCCTCCATACTCAGCATCCTCTGTATCAGCAATTTGTATCACCAGTATCTTGTATCGGCACCAGCAGCTCATACTAGTAGTAGCTAGCATCCTCCATATCAGGGAGCTTCCTTGTCTCCTGCTGGTGGTGCGGCATCAGCATCCTCCATATCAGCAAGACTCCATATCAGCATCCACTGTATCACCATCATCCATATCAGCATCCTCTGTACTATCAGCATCCTCCATATCAGTAAGACTCCATGATATCATCATCATCCATATCATCATCTTCTGTATCAGCCAGCAAGCATCCTCCATACCAGTAAGCCTCTTTATCAGCATCCTCTGCTTGATGGATCTGCACCAATACTGACATACTCCTCCCAATYGTAATAGGCTGTAGTCATGATAGATTCATAGATTAAAGATGGTCCAATACTAAAGGGAATAACAATAATGGATTGGTTGTTGTTGTTTGATACTGTAGTGGCAAAAGCTGCTGGTGGTGCTTGTACTACTAATAGTAGGCCTTTTACAGTACTGTACTACTAAATAATAATTTTGCATGATGTTTCCCCTTTAAGCTTTGCTACTGTGTAATAATGTGTATCTTTTTGTTACTAGTGTTAGTATGGTGCATTATGCTACAAATTAGGCAATCATTCTAACAATTTAAATGATAGACATATGCATAGCAGCTCAGTATAWATGTACATAAAAAATTTATATACTATCAACATCTGGGGTTATGTACTAAAGTAACGTAWAGCAATAGTACAAAAATAATACACAGAAATCCACATGCAAAAATACATTGCAGTAGGCCCGCCCCTAACCCTGGTTTTTTACTACTATGGTGGTGGTTTGTGTGAGAGCCAGCAGTACTAATAAATGTATCAAGTAAATCATGAGTAGATGGTAGTGAGTGAGCAATAAGCTCGTCCTCACTCTTTATTGTAAACACGCAATCATGCTGTGACAATAGCAGAGCATRTGTACATTTTGCAGGTTATGAGCAACAAATAGTACTAGACTTCTTACCTCGCCTCGTCAACCTCATCAGCGTAGTAAGAAGAACAAGAAAGTCTACAGAGTGACCTGATCTATGGTCACTCCTTCTTTCCTCAATCGAAGAGCACAGTACCCATTGCTGTTGCTTTCTGAGTTGGGTATTTTCCCGGCATTTTTTTGAAAATTCTTGTGCTGTGATGTGTTGTCTCCTGTTTTTGTCAATACTAATTGTGAGGATGACAAAGCTGCTGGATCTCAAGTAGCTAGTAGTAGTAGTAGTGAATAACCTCACTCGTTACTATTGTAAACTACATACCATGGCACACTAAGGAGCCTATTTTCATTTCACAGGTCATGAGTYCAAACTGGTTACTTTGCTTCATATGTCCATCATCAAGGAGGACAAAGCCATTGATATGAGTAGTCTGGTTTACTTCTCTTCCTGCTACCACTGAGCCCCTGGTCTGCGATTGGCACCGAACTTCGTTTTTGGATATTTTCGTAKAAAAATATCTTCKACAGCAKTACTAAACCACGTAGATTTCTACGGTATCTATGCTGTCACCAATTAGGAACACTTCAGTGACACCACAAGCGGCTGCTAGTGCTGCCGCTACACAGTAACTTGCAATAATAGTTCTTTTGGCTACAGTTGGTCTTGGGCGATTATTTTAGTTTTGTTCTTCGACAGGATTTGGTGTGTTTTCAAATCCATGCCCGAGACACAAGTGATTTGGCATGCGGCCCCCTGTTTGCGGATGTTCGCRTCGAGCCACAAGGACTAATACTATTATTATTTGAAACCGTCCTCATCGCAGGGACGATGGCAGCGGATGGCATGTGCACGGAAGCTCGTTTTATCGCTGCCTCCTTCCGTTTAGCCTGTTCGAATTGTTATGCCGATGACCGTCCCTTGAAAACATGTTCCCGTTGTCATCGTGCGTCCTATTGCAGTGTGGCGTGTCAAAAGGAGCATTGGTCGATGCACAAAGAGCACTGTCGACGGTTTACCCTCATGATGGATCTTTTAAAGGGGAYGAACGAACCCATGCGTTGTGGATTAGATAGAACCGCCATGGTACGCACAGCCATGTTGTCGACCGGCCCTAACGCCGATGAGGGCCTCTTTCGATTGTTTTTGTATGGCCCCACCTGTGCCGTGTGCTATAAAAATCCCTTTSATTTTGGACAAACGAATGTCAAGGATTGGAAACGGTGTACGACCTGTCAGTTTGGATGGTGTTGTTCTCAAGCCCATTGGGAAACCTATCGGCCTCGGCATACGGAGGAGGTGTGTRAACGGTACCAAAATTGCATTGCCGATGAAAAATTTTTGTTTGAACATTGGAAAAGGGACAAGGAACCATTTGCGTATTGCCCCCTTGATGTACATCCGTCCCTACAGAAATCCTTCCCGACGTCTTGGGATGCATATTTTCGATGGCGCGAACATAGATTGTATGTGAAAAACAGGCATCGATTACCCATCAACTTTTTTCGATGCGCCACCGATTATTTGAGCCAAATTTGTACCGTCTTGTACGGCATGGACCGGATCCTCTCCTTTCCACAGGTTCGAACCTACAGCACCCTTCATTTGCATGTRATTGGGGCCTCCGGCTATGAATTTCCAGCCTCGTGTTTTTGGGAAGAAATCATGCATATTTTCCCCAATCTGCAGGAATTTCAAGTGACCTTCATTGGACCCGACATTCGAGTTGAAGGCRATCTCGCCGGCTGCAGTAACCTGGAGACCTGTCCCGATTGTGAAGCCAAGGGTCGAATGCGTAAGCAAGCCTTCTTTAGTGGTTTGTATCACGAATACCACACGTCTTCCCATTTCAAGCCTCCCGATGTCTGCGTGGCCTTCAACACGGGGATGCATGAAGAATATACCCAAAGTTGGGAAACGACGTTGCACGTGTTACTGGAGATGAATGTCCCTTGTATCTTTACCTCCTTTGATGCCAACGAAGCCCAAAAGGATTGCGATCTCCTGTTGAACCTTCAGGCTAAGATGATCGACGAGCCCCACTACAACCCATTTAGTTCCCAATACCTCCAGCTGGATATGGTAGAAACGGACAAATTTTATCAAAAGAACATGCATGTCCTTTTGTTCCAGGGTCGACAGTCCTTGTAAGGGATGATCCACACTCTATCACCCATGGGCGAGACGATCATTAAACAAACCAACACCACACATGTATTTTGCGTACGGTTTGTCCGTTGCCCCGTCTTTGSATTGCACCACCAGGATCGCGTCGACCTCATCCATCTCCGCACAGGGCTCCCAACAATTCTTTGTGGCGCGCGCCCATGTGCACACTCCATCCATTGTGGGACTTCAGCATGCACAGTTGAAGTTGACCGGTGTTTCAGCAAGGGACTGGAGTTGTGGTGGACGAGAWAGGACTGTAGATAATGAAGCCTTCGTTTCTAAAACGATTGTGTAGCATTTTTCACTTTCCCTTTGCTCAGCTCGTTGCTTTTCTATCTCGCGCGGTCCATTATGTTTTCTAATAAGAATTTTTTGACATTTCAAAATATTCATAGCAACGGTCGACCCCATAATAATGATGGACTCGGMGCTGTTCCACCGCSTTTTGGCCTTACCCACCTGGACTCGATCCTCCTCTTTGGACCACTCAACCATTAAACTCATATAGCAGGAGGATCTCGTAGCCTGGTGGCATCACATCTTTTTCATTCCATCCGTCGCCCATCCAAGCCACCCTCTGGTAGGCCTATTGGACTCGATTGCGACAGGAATAGAATTGGGATCTCATTGCCCAATTGCTCCATCATAGTCTACAGGCCCATCGTCTCTATCTCGTCTAAYCAACACCATGTGGTCCACTCCTCCAGCAGTGTCAACGCTATCTTGACCATGTGCAACGCATGGAACGGGGGTGGTCGGGCCCCCTTGGAGCGATCCTGGTGGACGACCAGTTTGGTGTTGTTTGAGACGGAATGTGTAGAGGTGCAACGAGAGGACGTGGTGCAGCAAGTGACTCGAGATGGAAAGGTGGCCAAGATGCAGCAGGTGAAGGAGTTGTGTGCCATGCGTTTTGTGCTGTGCACGGCCATCCATCGTCCCGATGTACCTCGGAGAAAGCACGCCAGGGGGAGACATAGGCATGGGGGAAATAGATACAGACCTGGGAGGAGATTATAGCAGCACCCTTAGATTTAAGACTCTTTGGGGATCTTTTGGAACAGCCCGTGTTACAGGCCTCGGAGGTAGATACCCTCGTGGACAGGAACGGTGTCGAAGATCCACAGGTTCCATCAATGAGGATGCATAGACCTATTTCATCGAACGTCGCAGGGAATGGAGCGCAACGCAAAATTTGTTTGACTACCTCAAGAGGGTTGATGTATTGCTGAAGGCACAGACAGAGTTGATCTCAAAGTTTATGCATGAATGTTTGTGTAACCCACTATATGAGTTGGCCGTCTCTGTCCTGCTCACCGTGTATCATGAATAGCATCCCTTACAATCCATTGAGTTCCTCACCGCGGATTCAAGTAACCTACACATGCTATATCAGCTGTACAATGTTGTCGCAAATGGGAAGGCACACCTGGCAACGGCCACTGGACAACAGGTACGCCGAGATACGCAACGTATCGTACCAACATCGGAGGAGTGGACCATGACCAACTCAGAAGGAAAGCATTACGAGGACATGGACATCAAGGAAACTTTGATGTATATGTACAAAGAACAGCTCAAGCAAAGCGTCAAGGAATTCACAACATACAACACCGACATGGAAAAGGTGTATGCCCTAGCACTTGGACAAATTGATGAGCAATGAGGAGTGGGACAAGATCAACACATCAAAATGCCCAGTACAGCTACCAAAGCCACTCCGCGATGTATAAAACAAAGATGCACACACACACACGCGCGCACACACACACACACACACACACACACACACACACACACACACACACACACACACCAATGTCGTGAGGTCCCTCCGCAAGTTAATTTGCTCTCGCCAACGAAACATGGACTGCACTTCCTATGTCCAGTAGGTTGTACAATTCAGTGAAGTATTGGAAACAATTGTAGGGGAATATATTTGTCCAGCACTTGTAAAGTACGAGCTTGAACTAAATAACAACAAATATAGATTGAATGATGACAAACCGATCACATATCAACAAAACACTCAGCTGACACATCTAGATAAGATGAAGAAACAAATCAACCACAACGCAATCCAACAGTTTGTCGCGGCAATCATCGAAGGCAGTGATGAAGAAACCAGCACATTGAAGGGAACCCTTGCTAACCAGTTCAACCTAGGAATGAATCAGTACCTAACAACTACCACAAAGGCACTTGAAATGCTGAACCACTTCAAAGGAACAAAGAGACCTAAGCCAAAGGCAAACAACCAAGAGACTCAGCGAAATGATCAACATGGAGGCGAGAACACCAAACAAACAGTCAACAAGGATGACAAGGAGGTTAAGGAGGCAACCACATTTGTAACCAAGGGCAACAAAACCATGAAACAAGCGCTAATGCTAGCTGTTGCAAATGACAATGATTTTGGACAGGAAATGGATAACTATTTCCAGCTGTGTGAAGTGGTCACCGGTATGACACATACCGAAGGTACCCCCAACAATGAGGTTGCCCACTGTCATTTACATTACAGCAACGACAATGATGAGTTGTCCTCCAGCATGGACACTGACTACCAGGTAACCGATAACAATTATGATAGCATAAACTATGATGATGACAACTTTAGCTATTGGGCTGCCCGAGATGCTCTGGACAACAACTTTGGACAGCACGTCACACAAGCCAAGAGCATATCTGGTAACAATAACAGTGTGAGGAGTGAATCTGATAGTAGTTTGAACCAAACAACAGCGACCAAAGATGACCTCACAGGAACCACGATCAATGTTGTAGCTACCAAGACTTTACCAGTGCCACCAATTGGAACCATAACTTGCCTCCGTAATGTGCAACACTTAGTCAACGACTTTGAGGCACCATAAGGTCAGTCGCTAGATGCGCTAGACCTGGCCCACACCAACATACAGGCTGTGTGGTATGGGATTGTTACTGTGTTCAGATACAGTCAAAAGGTGCAAAGGTTATTAGCGCAATCCAAGACAGGCAGGGTCAATGAGAACTGGATCCTTCTGGACAGCAAATTGTCATGCAACCTAATAACAAACCCAAACCTGGTCACCAACATTAGAAAGGCACCTAACAATTGCAATCTAAGCATCTTTTGTAATTCAGGAGTGGTGTACACYGACAAAGTAGCTGACCTTCCAGGTTTTGGAGAGGTTTGGTTCTACTATGAGGACGGCATCGCAAGCATACTGTCCCTTGCACTTCAATCCAACATATACTGAGTGACAATGGATACTGCTGTGGACAATGCTATTCATGTTCATTATGAGGATGGCAACAAAAGGTGTTTTGCACTGTGCAAGTGCAACCTGTACTATTATTACATGTCACAGGAGGAAGGAACCCTCCTCACCATAATGTTCGTGGAAGGAAACAAGGAATCAGTCTCTGATCTAGACTGTAGGAGAGCAGAGAAAGCCTGCAGGCTACAGGAAGTCACAGGTTTTCCTACCACAAAGGACCTCATCTGCATGATCAACAACAAACTCCTCATTGCAAACACTACGGTATCTCAAAGGGATGTGCAAAATGCGGAGAAGATATATGGCAAGCATACCAGTATTATTAAAAGAAAACAAACCCGCATTAACACGGACCATATGTGCAAAGATATAACTAAAGTACCGTTTGAGGTGTTGGACAACTACAGAGATGTTAGAATTTACATCGATATTACTATGACCGTTAATGGGATAACAAGGTTCTTTCATTCCATATCCAGACACAGAAATTTCTGAACTACCAGAGCCATTACAAATGCAACACACAAAACCCTACTGGACTGCATGAGTTTGCAGACTTTCTACCAGGASATTCTGAAGTTCATAACTTCAAATCGAAGTTGAGAACTTGAAATTATTACTTTTTGCTCTATTTTGCGACCGTATTCAATTGTTACGAAACGCGTACTGTAGTATGTATGCGGGAATGAATCACCCATTGGCTGACGGCCATCAAATTCAAAATCCATTTTCGGGATCGGATGCCATCAGATTTTGATGAATCATCATGCGGTATCGTACAGGAAGTCCTCGTAAAAAGTAATACGTACTACTAGTCGTAACATAATATTATCATACAAGTACGAGTACTACTACTACTACTTCTATGAATTAAAATCTTCGAACAATTCCGAAATCCATCGACAAGATAACAACTACAGTACTTGTACATCAAAGTGCGTCGAAAGAAAGGAGTGCGATTACTTTTGACCTGATCAGATTGACCTACGGCACCCGATCAAAAGCAAAGAAGAATGACAGGATCAAGAGTTGGTGACACTTTTGTGCTTTACTGYCTGCTATTCGGCGCCGCTCTTTTRTGCGRGTGTAGTGCCTGGGTGACAACGACGAATCCAACAGTACACAAGTCCAAAACGCTATTTTCCACTCCCTTTGAGTTGGATTATTACGAAGATTCGGAAAACCCTTATGGTTCCGAAGATGTCTCTTCCCTGGCATGTAGTCCGGAYACGAARCTTGTGATTGGACTCAACAAGTACACACACGATACATCTCTTTGCGCTGCCGATGCCAAGACRGGAGAGGTTCTATTTGCTATTTCGAAGGAACGATTGTCTCGAAAAAAACACGATGCTGGAAATGTCGCTAGCATGGTAGAGGCTTGCCTCGATGCTCTGGACTTAGATTACGACGACGCCATCGAAAAGGTTGTGATGAACAACCATCACCATCGCATACTGCCTTTAGAAAAGGATCGAATGCACATGCAGTGGGAAGTCGGCCTCAACATTAACGGAGGTAGCGAAGGAGACGAATACAACGACGAATTCAACTTGCTAGACGTKGTTGAGGACGACAACAAGATGGAGTTATCCCATCATTTGGCTCATGCTTACTCGACGGCGACACAGTCACCCTTCGACAAKGGCATGGTCGTGGTTATGGATGGAATGGGAGAAAGCTATCGGACGATGTTGCAAGCAAGGAAAACAAAGGATTCGACGTACGTTAGCGATTTGAGTTTTCCATCCAAGGAAGAGGATGACGGTGACGGATTCGCATTCGATTGCATTCCGAGCAACCTTGCCGAACAGGCTCAATACACTCCATTCGATTGGAGAGAAGCAGAAACCGTTTATACGTTCAAAAAGAAGGCAAATACCATCGACTTGAAACCTGTGTTCAAGCGGTTTACACCAGAACGATCGCCGCCCACACTTTACAATCACGGCTTTGAAAATATGGACAGTGTCGGTGCTCTATATTCAAGAGCTTCATCGCACATTTTCGGGGATTGGAACGCTTGCGGCAAAGTCATGGGGTTGGCCCCCTGGATAATTCATTCATGGAAGAAAAAGGAATCCTCGCTTTTATCCGAAGATGAATCAGTAGAGGTGAAACCCGAGGAAGAAACTCGACGCATCTTGCAGGGAACACTTTATTCCGAAGACGAAGAATCGAAATTTCAGAAAAATACAAATGTGATTACGGGGATGCCTCTTATTGCTCGAATGGATGCAGATCTATTCGAYGGCCAAGGAAACCTACTGCCAAAAAGAAGATAYGATTTCGACGATAGCGAAGAAAATGACGAACAAAAAGGTGGGAAAGAAGCCAGACTTCCAACAAAGGTCGCTATTGAAGCTATTTCTCTTGCTCATCGGATACAGGTCGACTTAGAAGATATTACATTGGACTTTGTGAAATACTTTCAGAAGGTAACTGGTGAGGAGAATCTATGCATAGCAGGTGGTGTYGGACTTAATTCGGTCTTAAACGGGAAACTATCGAGAGASCTAGGCTTCAAAAACACATTTATTTCTCCGTATCCGGGAGACGATGGAATTGCTGTTGGATGCTGTGCTTATGGACTCTTTGGGAACGAGCGCCTTGATAAGTTGAAAARCCAAGGCAGCGATACTACTAAGGGAGGGAAAATCCAACCACCGATTTGGAAATCTCCGATCTCACCTTATCTTGGGCCAGATCCATCTGAAATCGCTATAAAGGAAGCCATTGATGCAGCAATGCCGTGGTTGGAGGTCGATATGATTCGCGACGAAGGCACTCGACTTGATATGGCTGTTGCGGAAATTGAGATGGGGGGTGTCGTCGCACTTTATCAGGGTAGATCAGAACTTGGACCCCGTGCCCTGGGTCATCGAAGTATTTTGGCTGATCCACGAAAGAAAGGCCTTGTGCGTTTCATCAATGAACACGTGAAGAAGCGAGAATCCTTTCGTCCATTTGCCCCCAGTGCTCTGGCCGAGCATGTTTCCGATTGGTTTGAGACAGATGAGTACAATGATAACAATTTTAGCCCCTTCATGAGCCTCACGGCAATGGTTAAGAAAGAAAAAAGAGCAAGAATTCCAGCCGTCACCCACGTGGATGGGTCATCCCGTCTTCAAACTGTTACTCGCGAAGCCGACGGCCTCTAYCACAGGCTAATTACCAAGTTTTACGAATTAACTGGAGTTCCCATGGTTTTGAATACTTCCTTYAACACTCTGCCAGGAGAGCCAATCGTCGAAAGCCCCAAAGATGCAATTCGTAGTTTCTTGTGTTCCATGGGATCGATCGAAATGCTTGTCATGGGCGATTATGTAATCAAGCGTAAGAAAGCTGATCTCCGTGCCCTGCTCGGAGAAACCGACCAACGGGAACAAGAATTTATTGTGGAACCTACGTGCCCGAGGCGAGCTGGCCCTACCACRTTTGAAACCACCTTCGAAGCCGACGACGACGAGATGGACACATCACAGGTTGTCACCACGACCCGCGTGCGAATGCCTGACCGACCGATGCATTCCGATAAGGGTGGATCATGGTTCTATCTCCTTGACGAGCTGGAGGGTGAACTTTTGTCAATATGCGATGGATCTGCAAATCTGAATGAAATTTTGGCGGAATATACAGCAGCGAAGTATTCAGAGGATGAAAAAGAAGATGCTAATGAGCTAGAAAATGATAGGGTCGAAGAGACGCAAGTCATGTTACAAAATATTGTCCATCGACTGGTACGATTGTACGAACATACTTTGATCAGTTGGTAATGAAGATCATCATAGAAAACGGATATAACACGTAGAAGTAGCTGCTACGAATTGTGCGTTTGCGAAGTGACAATATCACTCGTGTATTAAATACCTTCCGAACTCACAAGAATATTTCGYGATGTATACGTTTTCTTGGGAGACTTTTTTTAAAAATAATTCCTTTGCTCGATTCATAAAATACTAGCTGCTTGTACTAATGGTTCAGCCCTAGGGTCTTCACAACTTTGCGGTACGATTCGAAATCCTTTCGCTCCATGTAGTCCAAGAGCTTGCGCCGCCGGACGTACAGAGCATCCAATCCACGCTTGCTGTGCTTATCTTTTTTGTGTTTGCTGTAATGAGTCTGGATTTGCTGAATACGYGTGGTCAGGGCAATAACTTGCACCGCTGACGAACCGGTATCGCCCTCTCGCATTTGAAATATCTCCATGGCCTGCTGCTTTTGGGCCTTCACTACTTCCTTTTGGTTACCGTTGTGAAGGTTAAGTAGTTTTTTCACGCGGTCGCTCATAACAAGATCGCTGGAATCGGTAAACCCAAATCGAAGGAGCTCGGGTTTGTTGTCTTTCTGAAACTTCATTCTGTCCTGGAGCTCTTGGGCTGCCCGCTCGTCCTGACGTCTGGAATCGGCGAGTCGTTCTTCTTTCGAGACTGCGTTCAGAACTGGCGTATCCAATGGAATGTAGTTTGGRGGTTTGGGAGGRTAAATCCCCTGCGTAGCAAGCTCTTCTTTCCGTTTTCGCTTTTCTTGCCTATGAATGCGCTTCTTAGTSACGGTACGGATTTGTTGTTGTTGAATGGGCATCGCCATCGATGGGAACAGGCTATCGCAGGAAGAAGATGCTGCTGTCAACGAAGGAAAAGCGCCCTTCCTTGCCTCCGAGATCACAATTTGGGTGGCCCTACGACCAAAAACGAAAGGGACAGTGCTCATAGTATGAGTATGTGACAACCGAACAGGTACCCGGTGACAAGTTGTCTAATAGTTGACCAACTTTCTGGAAGATCGAAGTTGTTCACTACCTGGTGATAGATGTCGTCTTCTCGTTTCCTGGAAGTGTAGTTTATGTACGGTACTAGTAGTATTTTGTTTGTTCCAGGTACGGAGTCTGCACGTCGTGATTCGTGGTGATGAAAACGATGCCCAGGATTCCAATACGGTATCGATGTAGCGAATCCCGTGGCGACTGGACTGAAAAACAAAAACGCGCACGCGCATAAAATGAATGGAGGAGAACAAACCAGAAAATGCACAGAACAGAAGAAAGACAAAAGTGCAGGGTGGACACCACCACCAGGTTGTAAACTTGCCAACCTCTCTCTGGAACCACTATTGCCAACCCAGCATCGACGCAAGGAGTAATAGTAGAATAAGAGCGCCTATTAGGACCAACTGGGGCCAGCTCCCAAGCACGCCCCAGTTCCTGCAAGGACTATAATAACATGGACAGTACTGCGGAGCCCAATCCAACTTGCTATCTGGACTTATTCCAAGATCCAGCTGCCAATCCCTTTGGGACCGACCCTGATATACGTCGTAGCGCCTACGAAAGGATCTACCGCAAGTTCGCGAGTGGGCCAAGCTCCCTTCCCCCAGATGTCCTCCTTGCACATGTCCTCAACCTCTTCGAAGCTGAAGCCATAGGGGGGATCGGTATATTCGTCAACGATGTAGCCATCGTCCCCCGACTCCGGATTATCCACGGAATCCGGAAGTATCCTGGGAGTTTGCTAACGGCGTCACCAAATGCCAACAAGATCTTTGGTTTCTTAGATGATGTGGTCTCAGGTCGCGGAGAACTGGTTAGGGTTACTACCAGCATGTTTGCCCTCACCAACCCTATCCGCGTCCTCACCGCTGCACATCATCAGATGGCACTGGAAGCCAACACTAACCTCCAGTACGTTGGCCCCCTGAATCCGGAGGCACCCAACACGGAGGAACTCATTTGCCGGCACACCTTTTTCCTCCCCTTTGAGCTCATTCCCTCGATCCTGGGAAAGAACCTAACACCCCGCGAGGCCTTTAGCATCATACATCCCTGGCTCCAATCACAGGGCTGGGACACGGACGCCAAACCACTGGTGGACGCCCTCCGAGTGGCCGGTACACGGGCCCTTGTAAACAACCCGGGTAATCCGAACCCGGTATGCGAAATCGCCGCCAATGAACCCGGTCCCCTCTTCCGTGCGGAGGCAAAGCTTACCATTTACATGGATAAGAAGGTGCTTCACCGGGACTTGCCCGGGCTAGTACCAATTCCTACACACGTTAACCCTGGGACCGCAGCACTCACGGCTGCCGTATCCACACTCACTGACAACCAGCTAAAAATGAATGAAGCCAATGAGCGCCGTAGGGCCGAAGAAAAACAGCCAGCAACCATGGAAGATGTGTTTGGGGGCCTCAACGTGAGCCGCCTGAAAGCCTTGTGTATAGTGGACCAGGATAGTGACCTCCCAGCCGTATACCATGGATGGACTGGCAAGAAGAAAGGAGAGAAGCTGCACGCCTTATTCCAGAGCTATGTGGACCAGTCCGCCCGTGAACTGGGCCTCCAGGCCCCGTTCGTCCCCACAGCGATCCTGAAGACCTTCCAGGCCTTCCGGTTCTACGGAGTGGATGAGTGTGATGTAGGGGATGGGATACTTCCCATGGCCTTTGCTCCACCCGGCGGATCCCCTACAGCTCGCAAAAGACAAATGGCCGATGCACGAGCCGCATTAGCTTACGATACTATGGTTTCCACGGAAGGGAACTCCCTCAATCTAAGCAATGCACTAGCTTTGGGGAAAACACAGGGCTATATTCCACTGGATTGGACCGAGGCACTCCTGCAAATTGAGGGCTATCTCCCAGTACTGGGTGCTATTACTGGTGTTGAACACCCACTAGTCCGGAGCTATCTGGAAGGACTGGAGAGACTAAAGCGGACACAGCTAGCATTAAGATATGCCCTAATAGATAAGTGTGGGGAAAAATTAACCCCAGCGATCATAGTATACTATTTCCAGGTCCGGGTCCGCTGCTGGCTCAAAGAACAGTGGGGGAGCCAGGCCCCTGTCGAGATCCCCAGTTTCACCCAAGATCTCCGGACCTTCAAGCTGTCTAAGACCTTGAGCTGGCTCCCAGTAGTAACTGACGTGCCGGCATTGAAGGGGCTACAGATAGCCCCGAGCACTGCCGGCAACCAGAGACCCCCTGGAAAAGGGGGGCCCGGGAACAGTGCAGGACGGGCACCGAAAGGTGGACAGAACTCCCCTGCAGGAGCTCCTCAGCAACGAATCGAAAACACTCAGCAGGATCCTCGCCTGGCAAACGCTACAGGGGAGCTAGGAGCCAGGATTAAGAACTGGAAGATACCAAAAGCCTTAAGCACTATGAAAGAGAAAGGAAGAGGTCCCTGTCAGCGGACGGATGGGAAGGAGATGTGCCACTCCTGGCGGGCCAAAGGGTTCTGCTATGATGGATGCAAGCTCAAATACGACCATGAGACTTCCTTGGAGGGAGACCAAGACACGTTCTGGAACTGGTGCCAAGAGGCCTACGGAGCCCAGTGACAAGGGGGCAGGCAGTTTGCTCCCTTAAAGGCCACTGCTGTGCCACTGCCCCCAACCAAAATAAGACGGTTGGTGTCAGGAGCAGCAGGGCCTCGACAGCAGGTCCGTGCTTTCCGGACTCCCATGACTGGGGAACTAGGTAAGTACCAACTTGATGAAGTAATATTCCACGGGGAGGAGCCGGAGCCCGTTCCAGCACCCCCAGTACCACCACTAGTACCGGAGAGCCGAGACCCACCGGAAGATAGAGATGAGCAGCAGCCACGGAAACCGGGCTGGGGACAAGTTCCCTACCAGGAGGAAGCTGCAAACAAGCCTAGAAACGCGAGGGCCGTGCACTTCGTAGGGGCTGAACACCAGGAAGGGACGGCCGAGCCCCCCTTCCTTCCTCCCCCGACAGGGGGGACCGCTACTCCGGCCTCCGCTAAAGGCCGGATCTACCCACCAGATCGGTTGGACCAGCATGTCCAGCGAGCGGTGGGAGCCTTCCGGAAGGCCCCCACATGGGGGGATTTTGTAAGGTCCGTTAGAGGGAGAGGAGACCTGCATCCGGATGTAGACACTCTTCCCCATCCAGCCGCTAACCTCCTGAAAGGCTTCCAGCTGGAAGGAACACCAGCCACGATGAGCGGCCCCCCGTGGGAGCCAGGCCGCATCGCGGCTGCCCTGGCTAGAGGCCCCCACAAGTCCTCGCACAATGGGATAGAGTTCCTCCGGGAGGAATACGCCGATATGATGGACAAGCAGCAATGGACAGTACTCCCGGCTAAGCTCATAGCCGACGTCCCCGGCCTACGATTAAGCCCACTAGGCTTAGTACCACAAAGGGGCCAACGGGACCGAATGATCTCAGATTACAGTTACTTTGGAGTGAACGACGCCACAGTACCAATAGCCCCGGCCGAAGCCATGCAGTTTGGGAGAGCTCTCAAAAGACTGCTCCAACGAATTCACCGGGCCAATGATAATTTTGGGCCAGTATACATGTCGAAGGTGGACTTATCAGATGGCTTCTATAGACTGTGGGTCAAGCCGGAGGACACCATACACCTCGGGGTCCTGTTCCCCGCAAGGGAAGGGGAGGAACCCCTCATTGGCATCCCATTAACAAACCCAATGGGTTGGTGCTCCTCCCCTCCTAACTTCAGCGCATGTACTGAAACGATCGCTGACTTGGCTAACATGGTGCTGGCCGAACCCAACGGTGTAAAGCATATGCGGAGTCGGCCCCACCGGCTAGATGAACTCTCAGAACCGGCGGGAGAGGACTCGGCTACCACTGCGGCTCAAACCCAGCTCCTCCCCACGGGAGGGGCCACAACACCACTTAAGAAGCCCCTCCGGTATTGGGATGTCTATGTAGACGACTTTTGCGGTTTAGTGCAAGGGAATGTGTGGGTTAGGAGAGCTGTAAAGAGGGCCCTCTTCCACTCACTGGACCGAGTCTTCCGCCCGTTGGATTCAGAGGACACCCCTTATAGACAAGAACCAGCCTCCCTGAAAAAGCTAGGCAAGGGCGATGCTAAGTGGGCCACAAGCAAGATCATTCTAGGCTGGTTGCTCAACACGGAGGATAAGACCATCAGCCTGCCGCAACACCGTGTCGATCGGCTGCGAGACATCCTAAGCAGCATTTCCCCCGGTCAGAAATATGCCCGAGTAGATGAGTGGCACAAGTTACTGGGTGAACTAAGGTCCATGGCCATTGCCTTGCCAGGCTCGATAGGGCTTTTCTCCCTGCTTCAAGAGGCCTTTAGGCACCAAGAGCAAGGCAGACAGCGATTGAGGCTCACCAGTGCCCTGCACAGCTTCCTAGCAGATTTTCGGTGGCTGGCAGAGGACCTCTCCTCCAGACCAACCAGGATTGCTGAGCTGGTACCAGATGTTTGGCCGGCCACTATAGGTGCCTGCGATGCAGCTGGTACGGGTATGGGGGGAGTACACTTCATTCCCCTCCCGGGTGGAGAAATACAGCCAGTATACTGGAGGAAACAATTCCCCTCCTGGATTCGGAAGGAATTGGTATCTTTCAGCAACCCAAGCGGCCGAATCACCAATAGTGAACTAGAACTGGCAGGCTCCATAGCTCACTTGGATGTACTTGCTCAATGTGCAGAGGTTACGGAGAGGACCGTACACAACCTGTACGATAACGTAGCTGCCATGCACTGGCAGCGGAAAGGGGCCTCTACAACTACCGGACCAGTGGCTTATCTCCTCCGCCTACAGGCTTTACACCAAAGAATCTTCAGATATCTTCCCTGCCACGATTACATCCCTGGGCCGGCCAATGCAATGGCCGATACACTGTCCCGGGCCTGGCATTTAACTGACTCACAACTTGCGACCCACTTCAATCTTAACTATCCACAGAGCTTGCCTTGGAAGGAATGCCGGCTCCGGAAGCCAGTATATTCAAGTCTGACCTTGGCGCTATCCAGGAGACGATGCGATCCAGTGTCACTGAAGGGTATGCCAGAAAGAAGGATGCCCATTGGACATGCTGGCTTGACTTCTGCCTGTCTCAAGGCCTTGACCCCTTCCTCACACTGTCCCGGGACCCGGTCCCCTACCTCCAAGTCTTTGGAGCCCGGTACCAAGACGGCAGAGCCTCGCCCAGCGGCAAGTGTGCAAGAGCTCATACAGTATCGGACGCCATCAGATCAGTGGGCCAGAAGATCACCCGCCTGGGGGCCCCAGATCCCAGGCTCAATAGGTTTGGCAACCTAGACTATTGCATTGCAGCTCAACTGCGGGCTTACCGCAACAAAGAAAGCCCTCCTTCCCGTGTAAAACCTATTCCTATCACCGTCATCATCCACACACTCAACTTCGCGTATCGTCAGCGGCCTACTGCAGAAAGGAAGGCAGTTGCAAATATGATGTGTATTGCATTCTTCTTCTGCCTACGGCCGGGAGAGTACACTGGTACTACCTCTGATGATCAAGCCTTTACCCTGCAGGATGTTGCCTTCTTCATAGGCGCTCGTCGACTAAATTCGGCCGTCGCCTCCAATGCGGAGATCTCAGCAGCAACATCCATCCAATTAACATTTACAACACAGAAAAATGGCATCAAAGGGGATGTCATAGCCCACTCGCGTAGTGGGGACCCCCTTTGTTGCCCAGTAACCGCGGTCATCCGACAATTCCTCTTGCATCGAACCGTAACGGACCAGTACGATGGAACCATCCCCCTGGCCAGTTACTATAATCGACACAAAGTGAATGTTCGGGTTACCGCCGCCATGATAACGACGACAATGCGCTGGCATGCGGCAATCCTCCAGCCCTCCACTGGAATTTGCCCCAAATGCCTCAGTGCTCGGTCCTTGCGAGCAGGCGGCGCCATGGCCCTGCTCCAGGGTCGCTGTGACTCCAACGTGATCAAACTCCTGGCACGTTGGCACAGCGATGCAATGATGCGTTATCTCCACCAGCAATCGATTCCCCTCTTTCAACGGCTTGCGAAGCTCATGTTCAATAACGGCGCTTTCAGCTTCCTTCCCGAGGACTCCGTACCCGCCGCAACACCATCATAGGCCTCCCGCACGGCCCCTATGCCGCGTCGGCGGTCTCCTACTGTCCTCGGGACTTCCCACCCACGCTTTGCTCCCCCCCGGTGACCTGTGGTCCTTTGGCAGCTACTACTGATACGTGTGCTGGCAGTGGGGATCAGCAGGCTCAAGGCCGTAACCCTAACCCGGATCCCCCCACAGGGAAAAGAGTTAGGGTTACCCAGTTTCCCTTAACACCTGCTAAAACCACCAGCACACACAGTACTAGTAGAACCCTAGGGGACCTAGGAAACTAAGCAAGGGACTCGTTACGTAGGCTGTTTGTCGAAGACAAAAAGTCGATGTAGCGAATCCCGTGGCGACTGGACTGAAAAACAAAAACGCGCACGCGCATAAAATGAATGGAGGAGAACAAACCAGAAAATGCACAGAACAGAAGAAAGACAAAAGTGCAGGGTGGACACCACCACCAGGTTGTAAACTTGACAACCTCTCTCTGGAACCACTATTGCCAACCCAGCATCGACGCAAGGAGTAATAGTAGAATAAGAGCGCCTATCCCTCCCACCCGCCGCGTAGCAGCTACTACTGATACGTGTGCCGGCAGTGGGGATCAGCAGGCTCAAGGCCGTAACCCTAACCCGGATCCCCCCACAGGGAAAAGAGTTAGGGTTACCCAGTTTCCCTTAACACCTGCTAAAACCACCAGCACACACAGTACTAGTAGAACCCTAGGGGACCTAGGAAACTAAGCAAGGGACTCGTTACGTAGGCTGTTTGTCGAAGACAAAAAGCGGTTATCGCTTTTCAGTCGAGTCCCTTCATTCGTGAATGAATAGGAAACTAATGCACATCTCACATTTCACACTGCCCTCTGCCTACACTTAAGGTACTATGTACGTATCGTACCGTGAAACGGTACTACCTAACCGGTACGGGTAAAGAGTACAGTACTGTACGGTACGGTACTCGTAAGTACGAAGTACGAGCTGCTCGTCCGCACGCACAGTGCGATACGGACTACGTACCGGTACGGGCAGAAAACGATACAATAAATTAGAAGCTCCRTGATGATCAGAATGATCGAATCCAATGAGAATATTATTTTTCGAAAAAATGAAGCAAWTACCTCAACATTAGACGAGGAGAGTAAACAAACAAAACCTTCGTGGAAAAATCCTTCGACTAAAGTTTGCTGTAGAGTCGAACACAGAGACAGGAAACAAACAGATTTCACAGCCAGAGACAGAAGAACGACGTCATTCGGGACAGCAAACGATGGTTTGAGCATCCCGCCGAAGAAAAATAGAAGCAATCACGAAAGGTTCTCGGACAGATCGCATCACCATGAACGGAGGCACCACTAAGAAGGGCAAGGAGACAGAAGGTTCTTGGAAACCGGGCCTTGCTGGCTTTTTTGGTGGAGCAGTCAGTACTGTGCTTCTCTTGCCGCTCGACAACATCAAAGTGAGACTCCAAGTGAACGAAGGTGCAAGCACGAAAGTGATGCCAACGTCGTCGCCAGTGAGAAGAATGGAAGTCAAAACTTCCGCAAAATTAAAGTTCTCAGAAACAAACTCTGGATCTTCGACCAAAAACCATCAAAATTCTCACACGAGATTAGGTGCGATACGGATGTTACGAGGCGTAATCAAGTACGAAGGTGTGAGRGGGCTTTACCAAGGTTTGGTACCAGCTATTATCGGATCTGCAGTAAGTTGGGGAGGATTCTTTTTCGTGTATGAGAAAATGAAGCACCGCTTGCGAGAATTCAAATCAAGGCGCAACGAAGATGTGACTTGCTACAAGCATGGAAATGATGCTGGCAGAACTAGGAGGGAGCAACTGCCGCAACCTGCAACGCTGAATTCTTGGGATAATTTCTTGTTAGGCACCGCCTCGGGCGTCGTAATGGTATTCGTAACGAATCCTATATGGCTGATCAAGCTACGACTGCAATTGCAAATGAAACGCACRTCTGACCATCTCCATTTGAAAAACGTAACGCAGTACGATGGGTTTTTGGACGCTCTGCGGAAGATTGTCCGGTCCGATGGCATTTTGGGTTTGTACAGGGGAACGGGACCGGCACTCATATTGACTTCCCATGGTGGAGTCCAATTCGTAGTTTACGAGTTCCTCCGCAAGCATTTCCACTATGCCAAAGCCCAGAGGTCAACCGAATCGTCTTCTGTAATGAAACGCTTTGAGAATTCTCTGGGATATTTGACTATTGGGGCAATCTCGAAAATGTAAGTGCCGAAGGTTATGATCCAGGTTCAGCTTCTGTTTACAACTCTCAGTTATGGGCACTGCATAATTTTATCKCTGATGAACCTATGGCCATCYTTTCTTTGACTACTGATTAATAGGGCAGCAAGTACTACCACGTATCCAATGCAGGTCGTTAAATCACGGATACAACAACCTTCTAGTTCCATCGAACTTACCAACACCGGAGATGTAAGAGTTGTGAAACGAAACTATGCTGGATTGATTTCTACGGTACAGAAAATGTGGAGACAAGAAGGTACCGTTGGCTTTTTTAAAGGGGCAATTCCCAATGCGGTGAGGGTAGCACCCAGTGCAGCAGTGACTTTTTTGGTCTACGAATCAGCGATGGACTTTCTAGAAAGCTGATTGTGTCATTAAAGGACTGAAATCTCAAATTCCCAAGGAGTTATATTTTCCGCCAAAAATTCAGACGATCACCGTCACCACAGTTGCTAAGAATCAAAGTGCACGTGATTTTCTGTCTCTTCTTCAAACAACCGAACTTAATTTTTGTTTTTATAGATGCTATTTCACTGGTATGTGTTCCGCAAAATGTGGCGCTGTGCCATACTTTTTTGCTGGGGGATACGATGTTATCTACCTCTTGTTTTGATAGTTCACAAGAYGACAGAAAAACTATCCATGCAGGACCGTATGATATGTTCTCTCGTGGGTGTTGCAAGTACCGGTACTCATAACAATATTATGATGAATGGTTTGATCAATTTTCAATTCAATTTGACTACTAGTACAACACAAAGTACTTTACTTCGCTTCGTAATGGACGGGTTTTTTTTTCATACACGCCTCCACTGAATGATTTTTTGTTTTTTACGTTCCAATTCTGCAATTCTGTATTTGTTTCTTGTTTTTGCGAAGAATACTTACTACAGGTACATACTGTATCCACCAAAAATGAATCAAAAAATCTACCATGCTCTCCTCGGTTACGCTACGATTACGTCCGAGTAGCCGTAGCGTAATCGTAGTGTACCGGTCGGTAGTACTGTATCCCCAAAAAATAATCCTTTCGATCWCTCTCTTGAAATCTTCCGCATGGAGACAAGAACTATTTCAACTGTACATACCGGTATCGATGAAGTCATGAAAGCGATAGAAGACAAAATAATGCCATCGCAAACAAACAACAGCAAAACCGAAAACAATGTCAACGGAAAAATTATCACCAAACGAAAGCGCTGTGGGTAACAATGGTGACGCCGCAAGATTGGGCGAATCTACAAGATTACTMCATGATTCTGTCGAATCACGGCCATTGGATCGCTCAGAAACGAATGACAACTCGCCAGATGAAGATTTCGCATTATGGAACGAAATGGACGCACCATGGCCTGCCACTTTCGAAAGGGCGATTTCTCTCCTTGCATCTCCTGTCATCAAAGCTGATAAGGCTAATGACATGACAAARAGCCCAAAACCGGGAAACACCCCGATAGCTATTAGAAGAAGAATGCTCGTAAGTCGCTCYATTCGCTAGTCTCCGCTCCTGTCCTTCTTACAATAGCTGGATTTCGAAAGCTCACCCATGAATTTGATTCCTTTTCAACACCGAGAAGAAACGATCGAATAGTGCAAATACACCAGAATTCAGTGGTTTAGTCCCACCGCGGTCGAGACTGTCTTTTAGGGGAGAAAAGATGTCTGGAGGTATGGACTTTCAAAMAACAAAAGCTCATCTTAAAGCGCAAGCTAAATTTGTTCCATTAGCAAAGACACAAAAAAACATGGAGATAAAGTCCAAAGAAGCAGCCGAGTACCGAAAGAGAATACTCGCGACGCAGAAAGGAACAAAACGTAATAAACCCTCGTCAGAAGAAAAGACAACATTTTTGCAATGCGTCTTTAATTTGGCCAATATTCTCATGGGAGTTGGTCTCCTTGGCTTGCCATATGCGTTCTCAAAGGCTGGTTACTTGGGTGGCACCTTCGCAATCGTTAGTTTTGCCGTTGTCTGCTGGAAGACTTCGATTTTGATAGGGAGAGAGCTCAATGGTGACCCGCGTCCTTTGGCAATTTTCGCAGCGGGAATTTCTCCTGGGTCCGATCCAGTGGTACGGATGCGAAARCAAATTCGCTCGTTCCCAGATATCGCACGGGAAGCATTTGGTGATGCAGGTGCTATTATTCTTGGGGTTGTTTTATACTTTGAACTCTTTTCCTGCCTATCTATTTTCATCGTGTCGATTGGAGACCATATGAACGAGCTATTCCCAACCGTTCCCGTAACAACACACATGCTAGGCTTTACCGTTTTTTCTGCGTTGCCTGTGATAGGTAAGCCATGTAAAAGTCGACGTCGGAAAAACAGTGAAATACTTTTTACTAATTCCTGACCACATCATTATCCTGCCATTTACTTGACCTCAAGTCTTTCGAACCGCTGGCCTTTTGAGCTATCTCAGTTTAGTTGGGACTATTGCTACAATCTTTGTGGTTCTARCGGTAGTTCTTTCCTTCATTCAAGAAGGTGACATCACAGAGCAGCTCGCATTGAGTTTCGATTCAGAGTCTGTTCAAAGTGCAGAAACTTATCACTCAAGTTGGAATAYTAGCGGGTTARCTGTAGCCTTTGGTCTTGTGGCATTTTGCTTCTCGGGTCATGCAATTGTCCCATCGATATATGCTTCTATGGAGCATCCCCACCAATTTGAACRGGTTGTGGATGTCAGCTTTATGATTGTTGTAGCTGCCTGCATGGCCATTGGTCTGAGTGGATACACAATGTTTGGCGACTTTGTTCTGGATCAAATCACACTGTCATTGACTCAGAACTCGTCGGCAGTCCTTCTCATGAAGATTCTGACTTGGCTGATGATTTTGACTGCCTTTTCAAAACTTACACTTACTATGTTTCCCTTGGCAATGGGTTTTGAGGAAATCATCGCCCCTTACATCTCAAGCGATTCATCTATGTTGGTRGTTRGTGCTTTGATAAAAGTTGTTTTGCTCTTCGGTGCCTTGGCTGTGGCTATCTACGTTCCTTCTTTCAGCGCTTTATGCTCKATGGTTGGGATGGTCTGCACGATGGGAGTCTCAGTTATTTTTCCAGCCGGAGCTTACCTAAAGCTATTCTGGCCAAAACTATCGATGATGGAACGATATTTATATTCATTTTTTGTTATGATTGGTATTGTTATGGCTGTGGTTGGTACAGCTATTGAAATGTCGTAAATTATTAAGKTATTTTTATAGCTTGACAACATCAAACACCAGTCAATATTAAAACTTAATCGAGCCAGAAACCTTTCTCACTCAGGAGTCTACAGGTTCGTAGCGTTAATTAAATTTAATTATGAGATGAATGAAAATTTTACTAAGGTTTTGTTAAGTACAAAGTACTTTGTAATTCACAATATTGTAAAAGTTTTGTATATCAACTCTGGACTGGTCCTATAAAGGATCTGAAGTAGCACCAGTAGCAATAGCAGCAACAAGCAAAGGAGCACCAGCTACAGCAACAGCTCTCATTCTTACAAGATCATGGAAGCAGCAACCAAAGAAGATATTATGTGATGTTGTCCAGATCAGAGGGAGTGGAGCAATAAGAATAAGGAAGGCCACATAGCTGGCCTATTTGTCACACTAAGGGCAGTCATGGTGATTTGTGAAATTGAATCAAGTCAATGCTTGATAAAGAATCAGGTGAACTGGAGCACCTCCTGTGRGGACTAATGTTCCTCAAAGTTTATGCCACATCTGAAGAGAAGTTCAATGTTATAGTTGCATGGCCCCACATCCATACCTTAAGGAAGTGCTGGTCTTGGTACTTTGTGAGGAAGGAGAGGAAGATGTGATTTTATGGGAGAACAGATGCCTTGGTCAACCTCTATTGACTACARCTGACAAGTACTTGAAAAGAGCAGAATGCATGATACTATCTGTAGACTGGATGGACTGCCCATGCTATTGAGCCTTGGCCATTTAGCACCAACATGTAGTCAGAGAAGTTCAATGGTTCAGCTATTCCATACAAAGTTGGAATCTGTATTGCRACAAGTTGCATCTTCTGGATCAATGGTCCCTTCACTGGTGGAACTTTTGAGAAATAYATCTTTGACAGCAAGCTTGCAACAAGGCTTGAGGGCTGGGAAATGGTTGTTGGAGCTGACAGTTGATTATGGTAACAATGAAAGGAAAGACCCCAGATCAGGGTATAGAAAGCAAGCAACACAAAGAAAAGTCATTCATGTGACGATGCCATGAAAATTTTAATGGAAGACTAAAGATCTTTAATGTATTGAATTTTTCATTCCATCACACAGATGGGAGAGACAGAGAAAGAATAGAATGTGCATTGCAGTTGTTGCAGTGATTACTCTGCTGAAGCTTGAGCTTGAAGGGGGTCCCTATCATGTCAACTACAATGCAGCCCAATACACCTAGCAAAACATCAGAGCCTCAACAAAATAGTGTAGGTTTTCTCTAGCAAGGAAACATACACCTTGATCCATCTTAAATAAGTTTCTAGCAATACTGATGTTCCTACTACTCAGGCACCTACAACTAGTGTTGTCCTAGAGCTCTGTCAGGGTGCAGCAGCTGGYAGTCTTCATTTGAGACTGTTACAGTCAAAACAGTTGTTTGGATTGACCACTGCAGGGCTCAGTAGGATTTTGAATGTGCAATCAAAACCAATCTATTTTAAGCAACATTGACAGTATACTTCTCTTGATTTGTGATTTTCTACAGGGCCTCTAGTACTAGAATCTGTTGCTACTGCTACTGCTACTGCTTCTGCTTCTTCTTCTTCTGCTAATCCTCAAACATGAGGACCAACTATCTTTAAACCTCCTTGAAAGATCTTCTCCCTGCCTCCACTCTTCTAATAGCAGYCCTCCTCCAACCATGCCTGCTGGTTCCCCCCCCCCCAATCATCCTCAAAGAAACTGCCTGAAGTTGCTGTAGTGTTTGAGACAACTTCTTTTGATGATCAAGTCAAAGCTACAAACAAGAAGTCTCTTGATGATGGTAGTCATGTCTATGTCTTGAACCTGGGACTCACAGGACAACAATGATGAGGATTTGTCTGATGAAGAGATGAAGATCAAGTCTACACCATGAATAGGAGGATGATCATGTACAAAGCCATTCATGCAGATCTCATTCTTCTTAGGTGGCTTGATCCCTTCAATTTCAGCTCACCATTTGCTGGACCAGGTATAGGTACTAAGTGTGCATGAGCACTTAGGGTGAATAGGCACTGAGACACCACAGAGTTAAAATAATATTGATGGGAAAGAGAAGCAAAAAGAATAATTGAATTGTGATGTCAACAAAGGTGGGAGGGCTGGCTGTGGGACTTGCCAGGGTTGGAAGGCAGTGGTCCTTATGGTGGTYAACAGCTCAAGTTCTTCCTTTTTGCCCTCTCCATCTGACCACCATGGCAATTAGATTAGAAGTAGTAGTTTWAAATGAGATTCTGGARTACCCAGAAAACATGCCTCTTTTATTAGCAGATTTTCCACACCTCTAGAAGAGCTGCACAACAAGCCACACTTGTGGTTGTAAAAATATTGTATCAGCAATATCTTTTAACATAGAGCATGTACTAGGTTGAGCACARTTTTTCTGAAGAAATATAAAGTTATAGWAATCAGATGCTGGTGGCACAGATGAGTTTGCTGATGTGCTAGTAGTACTACTTCAACTATGGAACAGAAGTAGAATTCAAAATTGAGGTCCTTATYGACTACAATATTAAAGATCATGTAGAAGGAGATCTAGACCTATACCTAAGATAATTCAATAGTTACATCATTCTAATTCATCAGTACATGTTATTCTGTGCACAGTAAAYACTACCCACGTTATYATATGAAGAAACAAGCAACAATGGTAAAACCAAGTCAATTCTCTTGCCTTTCCTTGAAGAACCCATTGCAAGTTGACAAGATGAAAAAGATAACCCTCACCATGAATCATGATAACAACAAGAAGAAGCTCACGGTGATTTGTGTTATATTCTCCAGAGACTATGGTGTCCAGGAGCTGTTTTATGCTGAGGAAGCCTTCACCAATTTTATCAAGGATCTTGAGTTGACTGCTGGAGAATCCACTGATAAGAAGTGGCAAATGGCCCTTGAACATGGACCCAGAAAGAAGTGGAACAAGCTAMTATGGGAAGGAGATACACCCCTTAATGTCAGTCACGACAGTGCAGACAACTGGAAGAGAGCTCCCATAGCCTATAGAAAGAGGTATGCACCAAACCAGGACACCTGTGATAGTTTAATCAGCTACCTCAACTCCAATGAGGTCAAGAGCCTCCAGGTATCTTCTGCCAARCATACGCTGTCAGGATCATCTCATGCTCTGAAAGAGCCAACAACACTCTACATGGTATCAGAAAGGAACTGGATGAGAAGGAGATCAAGCTCATTGTTTTCCGGTCTTTCCCCAGACAGTGGCGCACTGGATACAAGCTCAGTGGTAGGAACATCTTAGAGGATACCATCAAGGAGATAGTAAAGTACATAAATGATCAAAAGGGTGTTGGAGATGAAGATGCTGGTGGAAGGAAGTGCCCATCCAACAACAATGAGGACTGAAGGAATGGTAAGAAACATAATAAGAAGAAAAACAAGTCCTTCTTTGAGAAAAGAGAGCACCAGTAAAGAAGAAAGTCAGACGCTGCCCCCTGTAGAAGACATAATGGAGCTCACTTGTGGGGCAAGTGTCCATATCACAGAAGAAACAAAAGGAATGCAGACAGAGGCAGTGGTGGAAGAGGCTTCCAAGGTTGAGGCTGCTTTGCACAAACATTAAGATCAAAATCACAGAAGTCAAAATATAAAGAAGACTAAAAACTTTTTTGACTGTAATTGGTTCTCAAAGAGGAAGGGGGGTCTGGTGGGGGTTGGTGGGGTTGGATTTGGTAGAAACCTGGTGGTATGCTTATCCTTTTTAAAAAAATCTTAATAATATATTTAACATCGTGAACTAGAAGAGGCACTATATGGCCAGAACCAGAGCCTCTCTGGACTAGGGAGAAGAATGCTCCTAGCTGCTCCAAGGGGCGGYGCCTCCCTCTGAGGAGGTTGTGTGGAGGCACGACCAGGTTCCATGCACACTGGCAAGCCAATTAAGGCAGGTCACTGGGTCCAGTGGACATAAAAGGGGTTGGTTCACAATTTGGATGGGTGAGAACCATGCCATTGTCACTCCAAAGTGAGTGTCAAGCACACTGCCAAGCTAATGAAGGCTAGCACCCTCACAGTGGACAAAGGCACAGGTGTTGGAGTAGTCATAAAAAAGAAAAAATCAAAAAGGAAAATCAAAAAGAAAAACAAAAAAGGAAGCTGAATCAATTCTTCAAGTAACAGCRAGCCTCAAAGGAGCAACTGTTTRTGAAACATCTTTGTAAAGAAGAACCTGAGGATAGATCAAAGAGATCTGGTTGAATACTGGAGCTGGGGTTGGTGTTGTTGCCTTCCGGCATGGATGCCGGAGACAACAACAAWCATGACTGGAAAACACTGCTGCTTCCGATCCTTGAGAACTGGGGATGGATCCAGCTGAGAACTGGGGCAGGGGAATAGTACTGGGAATGATATTTATGCAGTATCCACTGGGGTTGGTGTTGTTGCTCTCTGGCAGGAATGTTGGAAGCAACAATAACATGACCAGAAAACTCTTCCAGTCCTGAAATTATTGGAACTGCATGGAGATGCTGGGGAATCTTCTTTTAAAACTGAGAATGATATAAGTAGTAGCTTATACTCCAGGTATTGTTCTTCAAAGGTCTTGATTAAATACTGGGGGCTGGGGTTGTTGGTGTTGCTATCTGACACAGATGCCGGAACAAGACCGGGGACTGATGGGGGTGTTGTTGTTGCCAGAAGAAACAACAACAGCATAACGGGAAAACTCTTCTGGTCTGTAAATAAAACTGGAACTACGTGGAGATGCTGGGGGATCTTCTTTAAATTGAGTATTGCACAAGATTACGTGTACTTGCTTTAAGTGTGTATAAAAATGAAATTATAAGATTAAAGATTATCATGCGAGTTTGTMAAGAATTCCAGAGTTCCRATTAGATCCCTGTGTAGATCTGGTACTGAATCTACATGGGGTTCTTACTATTTGGAACTYRTGACATCTTTGTTCTTTGCAAGGTAATCTATCTYGAAATATCTTGGACCTCTTAGRATCCTTGGTACGATGGATCCTATGATGTATATATACGAATAGTACCWTATGATATGTAGGCAGGAATGGTATGTCCATCCATTCCAATTGAGCATCRTATGATACRTATGCTTTCAATACAGTACGTACATATCCGTTGCAAGTATGTAT